AGCAAGTTCGATGAATTTTGAAAAAAATTCCGCCATCTTGAATCCGACATTATGAATTTCGAAAAACTGATCTTAGATTCGTAATCAGCGACCCCAGAAACCTTAGGGTACCAAGTTTCATAAAAATCTATTAAAAATTTTTGTCAACACACTTTTGGCCCAAACAGTGGAAATCTCGTTGACAGCCATCAAGGGGTTAATTAATTTTATTAAGTAAACACGAGGAATTTTGTAAAATAAGAAGGATAGTGTAAGTAGAAAATAAATGAATTTCACATAATATTCAATGGATTTTTGTCCCTGGCTTTTTAACCCTCAAGACCAATTTTTCTAAAAGCTATAATAAATTTTAAATTTAGTTCAATTTCAAAAAATTAACATTGTATACATTTTTAGTATAGTTGTAAATGTACAAACATTTACTTTTATTACCCGTTCACAAACAGGTTGTAATATGTTTGAAAAGTTCATCGAAATGTTTTGCGCAGAGCAACTCGAAAATTAAAATTACAATAAAATCTATATTGTTATATGTACAACATCTAAACTAGAATTAAAAATTGCGTATTACCTAATATATATATATATATATATATATATATATATATATATATATATATATATATATATATATATATATATATATATATATATATATATATATGAATAAAAATAATAACAATAATATTAAATTTGGGTAAATTATTTAAAGTTAAAAAATTGAAATCAATAAAACTGATAAGCTCAATTGCCTCCTTTCGCAACCTATTAACCACTGAATTGTCAAGATAGCTAGTTTTTGAAAATTGAATACTTGTGGATGTCTCGCAGATCTCTGAGGCACATGTAAATTAAATAAGCAAAGTATATGAGGACAATTAATTGAACCATCGATAATTTTAAATAAAATAACATGTCATCATATAAAAAACTCTGTGATAATAAAGGAACATTGAATGATGCTCTTAAATTTGTGTAATCATGGCTATACCCAGTGAGAAATTGCCAATAGACTTTAATCGGTCCAATATCGGTCCAATATTGGTTGCCGTGCTGGGCGCCGATTGACTCCCAATATTGGACCAATATGGGCTGATGCTTGGGATGTAACGGCATCGCCAATCATCGGTTGTCAATATTGGTCCAATATTGGCCGAATATTGGCAACCAAGAGAAAAAAATTTTTTTAAATAAATTTTTTTTAATTAAATAATAATAATAAAAAATTAATGTTTATAATTTTTGTTTAATATATTTATTTGTTTAATTATTTATTTTTAATAATTCATGTAAATAATAAATAATTTATTATTTATAAATTATAATTATTTAAAAATGCAGCAACTATTAGGAAATAATCGAAATAGCATTCTGCAAAAAAATTCTATCATTGAAAAATCAATGATAGGCGAGAGAAATCCGCGTCTTTAAATAGATTCGCAGATGATAGACAAGAGATATCCGCGTCATTAAACGGATTCGCAGATATACTCTGGTCTCGCGACGAATCTCTCGATACTTATATACACTGGAGTCGCCGTGTCAGTTGCGAGAACGGTTACAGCGTCCCTCTTTCGGCGGAGATAAGAATTGTCACGTAAACTGCTAAATCGCTTTACCGACCGCCTTATTATACCCGCAGTTTACGTGACAATTCTTATCTCTGCCGAAAGAGGGACGCTGTAACCGTTCTCGCAACTGACACGGCGACTCCAGTGTATATAAGTATCGAGAGATTCGTCGCGAGACCAGAGTATATCTGCGAATCCGTTTAATGACGCGGATATCTCTTGTCTATCATCTGCGAATCTATTTAAAGACGCGGATTTCTCTCGCCTATCATTGATTTTTCAATGATAGAATTTTTTTGCAGAATGCTATTTCCTATAATAGCTGCTGCATTTTTAAATAATTATAATTTATAAATAATAAATTATTTATTATTTACATGAATTATTAAAAATAAATAATTAAACAAATAAATATATTAAACAAAAATTATAAACATTAATTTTTTATTATTATTATTTAATTAAAAAAAATTTATTTAAAAAAATTTTTTTCTCTTGGTTGCCAATATTCGGCCAATATTGGACCAATATTGACAACCGATGATTGGCGATGCCGTTACATCCCAAGCATCAGCCCATATTGGTCCAATATTGGGAGCCTTTATTGGACCGATGATCGGTCTCTTGGCTCCCAATATTGGACCGATATTGGACCGGTGAGAAATTTCTCACTGGGTAGTATAATCAAATGGAATACCGGTTTGTCTAGCCATAAATCGCAAAATCTATTCTGAACACGTTCACTGTCCGTCATTAGATAACTTTGATAAGGTCTCCATAATGTTGAGGCAAACTCAATGTCATTTTATGAAAATGAATGATAAATTAAAATAGAGTTTGAAAATTGGATGTTAATGAAGTACAAATTTTTTAACAATAGAACATCCCTTCATAATTAAAGATCTTTATCATATTTAGATACCAAAGTATCTAAATAATTATGATAAAAATATTAATCCCAATAAAGCCCTGAATACCAAGAAAATTAGAAAAATCTAACATGACGAATTAAAACTAGTTACATAGTAAATTGTGAGGTATTAAAAATCTTTGTAGATTAAATTAACACCAAAAAAGATTAAAATAATCCATTTTGGTGTTATTTATTATTTTTTACTATGAATGGAATTTTACTTCAAATGAAAACCAAGTCAACGATTTGTCAAAATTCACCGAATTCAGTTTTACCAGGATCCTGATCTGAGCAAATAATCAAGTATATGCAAGGAAGCAAAAAGGAAATAAGCAAGTAAGTAAGCAAGAAGGAAAGTAAGTAAATAACAAGTAAGCAATTAAGCAAACAGAAAATAAGCAAGTTAGGAAGTAAGCAAGTTATTTCCTTCTTTTTTATACTTACATACTTGCTTGCTTACTTACTTGTTTACTGACTTGCTTACTATTGGGACATGTATATGTCCCTTCTACAAAACAAATATTATTTGTTTTATATTATATTTTATATTAATAAACAAAATTAATATTTTTCAATCAAATGTAGTGCGTTATCTTAAGCAAAGAGAGGGCTTCCAAAATATGTAGACCAGAAGCTATCTAAAATTTGCTATTGTTTAAAAAAAATTATAAACAATTGTTAAAATTTGCGAATTTAAAAAAAAAATTTGGAGTTGCATGAAACTTGTTACTCAGGGATTTTTTAAGTTTCTGATTACGAATCTGATGTTACCTTTTCAAAATTTTAAAATAGTGTATCAAATATAAATTTTGAAAAACTATAAAATCGGATTTGAAATCAGCGGCCATAAAATTCCCCGAAATAAGAAGTTGCAAGCAAATTGCACTTGACTTTTAACAGCCTTCCGCCATATTGAATCTGACATTTTGAATTTTAGAAAAGTAACATCAGATTCGTAATCAGTGACCCCAAAATCCCTCGAGTATCAAGTTTCAAGCTAATTTAAGGAATTTAAAAAAATTTGTTCGCCATATTCGATCCGCCATTTTGAATATTGAAAAACTAATCTCGAATTCGTATAATCAGCGTCCATAAAAACCTCTAATAACATATTTGGTTTTTAAAAATTTTCTCTTCCATTATTGGGGGCATTAAATATTTATAATTGATAATACAATCAACTTTCTCAATAAATAATTTCGGGTTCCTCGAAAAAATTTTGATATTTAAAACATTCGATAAATAAAACTTTCGATAATTTGAATTCTTTTTTGTGTACATAAAGATTCAATTTATCGAGAGTCCACTGTATCTAAAAATAGACAGAAAAATCAACGAAAAAAATGTTTCTGTAAAAAAAACGTTTTTTAGTTGACTTAAAATGACTTAAAATTTACCTGAAGTAAATTTTCACTTAACTATAAATTCCAAAAGTATAAAAAATTTAACAGAAAAATATTTTTAATGCAATTAGTGCTGGGTCATTTTTACTATATACAAAGATTTCCATAAGAAAGCAATACAACTCTAAGAGATGTTATCCTGCCAACATCAATTAGAAATAATCCGAATTTTAGTGAAACAATTTAAAATCTAAAAAAATTAATGCCAGTTAGATGAACTTTTCAAAAATTTATCATCTATTAAACATCCTCTTAAATGGAGAAAAAAATTCTTTTTTTGTAGCTAAATATTCTTAAACTAACAATAAAATACAAAAAGTAATTAATAAACGGAATATTGCTCTCATATTGAGATTTTATTTTTTTCGCTCCAACCATCAAGAATCAATCACATCACTATTTTTAGAATGAATACCCGAAAGTTGATGGTTGAAAAAAGCAAACACACAATTTGTACTTTGACTTTGGGTGTGTTTTTTTAAGAGGAGAGGGCTGGGGGTGAAAAACGACTGAAGTACAATTGGACACCACTCTCGAAGTTGAGTTATTGATGGAAACGTGAAATAAAGTTGAAATGAAAACAAGCACGACTGTTCCAGTATCAATTGACGTTGTTTGTATTGCGCTTTTAGTGAAGAACCGCGCGGTACGTTTGTCCCTGATAGATGACCATCGAAGAAGAGTAAAGTGTCTCACTAATTGACAAGTTGTCGCGCAACTTTGCTACATTTGACAGCAGTAACTCTCCCTCATCTCCTTTCCAACTGTAATCACTTCCCTTTAATCGAAATCAATTTTCAATAACCACTATAACTATTCGATAATTACACCTAATTGCAATTATAATTTCACTTATTCTCACTGACATCTTCTTTAAAATATAATATATTATCCATATCAGTAGTTTTACATCGAAAATCACTTGGGATTTTTAAGTCACTGATTCTTTACAAAACGACAAAAAAAAATGATATAGTATTTTTCTCAAGAAAAGAAGTTTGATTATGGAGTCAACCGCCCAGAGAGGAGAGATTATCATCTCTCCATTTCCTGGGATGAGTGATATCAATCTAGAAGAAGATTCTTTGGGGGGGAATAAATAGAGTGTCTTACCTGATTTGATCTGTTGAGGTCTCGCTTGAATCCGAATGGTAGCGAAAGAAATGATGACGATGGCGACGAAGGATCCAAAAAACCACATATTCCTTTTGTAGGAAGAAAAAAAAATTGTGAAACAATATCCGATTTTTTTTTTTAATTCAATATTCGCGAATGAATCGGGATGGTAAGCACGGTGTTGGCAATGAACGAATGAATGTGAGTGAGACCGACCGACAGACGGACGTGCGGGCGTACACGAGTCAATGAGTGGTACTCACCCGTAGGAGCCCTCACCAAACTTAACTTCCTCTCACTCCGGCCGCACATATGCAGCTCTCTTTTTCCATCTTTCAGCTCCCTTCTTCCTTTTCTCCAACATGCATGCGGTGATTACGCACCTTTTGTGATCCCCCACCTGTGTTTGTTGTATATGCATCAACTTAACATCACTTGCGACCGTGACCAAGAATCATTTCACCTTATGACTTTCCCTCAAGTACTTCCTGCTTCGGCTGACATAACTCTTTCACACCCTGGCAGAACTGGCAGGTTAAAAAACATAAGTGTAACGATTTCCATAGTTTTCGGGGTCGCTGATTACGAATCTAAAGCCAGATTTTCAAAATTCAAAATGGCGTATCCAAGATGGCGGATGATTTTTTTAAAAATCTTTTAATTTTACCTGAAACTTGTTGCTCGGGGGTTTTCGGGGTCGCTGATGACGAATCAGATGTTAGTTTTTAAAAATTCAAAATAGACAATTTCTGCTTGTCAAAACTGTATTCTATATTTATCAATTTTCTTTAATAATTATTTTATCAAATTATGATTTAATTTTATTTAGGCTGATTTAGACTGACTTGAAAATTATTTATTTCATCTATTTATTGTGAAATGGTAATTCAATACTCAAAATTAAAATTCGATTATTATAAATAAAAAATAGTTAAAGGCTGATTAATATTAATATATGTCCTAAAATTTTCAAACACTCATAACTCCGCTAAAAAATTTTTTTTCGCTAAATAAAAAAATACGTGTCTCTTTATTTGTCCTAAAGAACAAGAAAAATTACCTTTAACTTGATTTAGAATTTTTAACCTATTCGCTCTGCATGAATTGAGATAGAATCAGCCTTTAACTATTTTTTATTTATAATAATCGAATTTTAATTTTGAGTATTGAATTACCATTTCACAATAAATAGATGAAATAAATAATTTTTCAAGTCAGTCTAAAAAATTCACGTTGGAAAATTTTCTAGTCATTCGTTTAAAGGTATATTCATGAAATATTAATGATTTCTTGCTAAGAAGAATATTTTTGCTTCAACTGCAATAAGGTTGTTGATACACTGAATCATGTACAAGAAACGATGCTTCGTTCAGAGTTCACGGAAGTTAGTCCTTGCCGGTTCTCAGGTGCGTTGGCATTGTCATCAATTGCTAATCGAACGCCGCCTTCTTGTTGGGGGGTGGTAACCATACAGGTGAGTTAGAAAGTGGACGCTGGCGCTGTACGAGAAACTGTAAGTCACTACTCACTTTTATTCACAAACTTCTTAAAAATACTATAAACAAAATTTAAGAAATGTGGAACAATTTTTTTAACATACTAAATACTACCCCATTCCATAAATTTTTTAGACTGAAAAAATAAATAATTTACTAATTGCAAATTCATGAATTGCAAATATAACAAATACTTTGCAAAAACTATTTCAAAAATTTCGTCAAAATAAAAAAATGTGAATTTATAAGTTAGTAGGAAGAAGAATCGAAACTTTTATATTAACCAGATGCACAATTAAATTATAAGAAAAAAATCAAATAAAAGTATAAAGTTTGTCATCAATTATTTCACGTTGTTAAATAATTACATTAGTTTCAATAATGCAATCGCTAATTATCAAGATAAGAGAACCTTTTCTGCAATTAATTATTCAGTTGAAAAGAGAATTCATCCCTTTGGAATTATCCATTACGGAAATTTTCATAACTGCTATAAATACTATATCAGTACTAATTTAGCTGGAGACTTAAAAACAGGTCATATTCTAAAGGCATTATTGTAATCATTGAATTTTATTTTATAAAATTTATTTTAATATTGTTAATATAATTTTAATAATGTTGACGTTTCTTTTAAATTACAAATTATATACGATTTCGATGAAAGGAGTAGTGATGTATATATAGTAATCAAGTGAATCATGCATCCCAAGAAACATGGATGAGTTTTTTGCCTCCGTTCTTTAAAGGGATGGGGGACTCTTACTTCTAATCACTTGATGGACTTGAGTGGAAAGTCAATAAGAGTCTGAGATACCGGATATATGAGAAAAGCGTGCCACGAAAATTTAAAGTCTCTCGAAATTTAATGAATTTGTTCCATTATTTTTTCCAATTAGAACATAATTTTTAGGGCGAAAACAAAATTATGGAAAATACTTTTTTTTAAGGAAATTTCATTTACATATAGATTAAATTTTAGGTAATTTGATAACATTCATCTTTTTTTAAATAAATAAAAGGGTCAAAACAAAAAAATTACGTAAAGTATAAATATAATGTGAAATGTATATTACAAATATATATGAGTGAGGCTAATTGTGATGTCGAGTATAGAGAGTGAAGAAATTGTTGTATGGCTGTACCACCAGCTGGTTCCCGGTTTCACATGAAGATAAAGCCGTTTCGAACGAAAGCCGACCTCCCGTGAGTATCGAGTATTTTGCGACAAAAGAAATTGCATCAACCTTGCGCCGTAACAGCGATTAAAATCAATTGCTCTCTTAAGAGTGGACGTCAATCCACTCACGACATATATCCCCCCCCCCTCCTTTGGTTACATTCACTTCAAAATTTTCCACTTCCTTCTTTTTTTGTTTGCAAAAAATTACTGTTAGTGTGGAATATAAAGAAATAATTATACACCTCACCATGTCGCGACGTTACAGTTCGTTACACGTGAAAGCGCAACAGTGAAAAAAATTATTTCTCGAAATCTACTTTTTTATTAACAATTTTATACGAATTAGGAGAAAAAAAATTTTTTTAATTAGAAAAATGTTGATGCTAGTCGAGATGATGGGAGTTAATCTATAATTGTGAGAACTTAATTTTAAAACCAGATATGGCACAATTTTTTGCATGTAAGTTAACACGATGTCACATTGATACGTTCAAAAAGATGAAAAAAAACAGAACTAAATTTGTTTATTTATTTATTTTTATTTATTTACACTTTTTACCCGCAGTCCATGGGGACCATAAATGGGTGTCTATATACATAATTAGATTGTAATAATTTAACACATCCCCGCCAATGGTTGTCCACTGCCGAACATCATCTATGTCTTCAAAGTGCTGGGAATAATGGATACTTATCCACTGCCAGACATGATTGACATCATGGATATGTTCGGTAGACCTTGCCGTGGTGGCGGGTCTTTTCACTAAAGGACAACCAAAACAGCAAGACCAAAATGAGCAATTGTAAAAATGAGGTGTACCTGCGGGGTAATGCTTTGGCTAAATCCCTCACTGGTTCCGACCGTCAAGCGCCTGGCGCGGGGCCGTGGCCCAAGAATGCAGGAGGGCAACAACGCTTTGGTGGTACCAAGAATTGTCTTGGACCGAGTAGATAGACGAGGAAGTGCGAGCAGTGTGGCGAGTCAGGCCAGCTGCGTTTCTGTCTTTAGCAACGCATCTGCACTAGACATCGCAAGCTGCAACGAGGATAGAGACAGATGTATTCAGCTGCGAAAAGAAGAGGCAGCGTGCATTGATGTAATTGCTCAGGAGGTCAGCAAGATGCTTAAGACCTGCGAGATCCAGAAGAATGTTAGCATAACAATTAAGGAGGGACTAAAAGTCTAAAATCGCTCATTCAGGAGGTGAAAGAAAGGCACGACAAAGCGAAGAGGACGGATGAACGTCTCTATCAAGGATTGGTCTGGTCAGAGGAGGCTCGACAGGACAGTAGACTCAGAAGAGATAGATTTAATGCAATTGCATTACAAAACGTTGCTATGGTTTCCCAAAAAAGAAGATTAAGCAGTCCTGAAGCGTCGAAGGACCTTAAGAAGAAGAAGAAGAAGAAGAAGATGATGATGATGAAACCTTCTAAACTGTCTGCACGTAAGGTTGAGAGGGATTCTAACGAAAACCAAGACAGTAAAGTACCTAGGTTGCCGCCTAGATTAGCTATGGTTGTAAAGGTAGCTAAGGGTGTTAGTTATGCTGATGTCTTAGGAAAGCTTAAAAGAGAAGCTGAACCTGATGCCAGTCAGACAAGAGTGGTGGGAGAAATGCCCACAAAGAAAGGTGACCTTCTTTTAAAAATTGAAGGCTCACTAGGAAATAAGAAGTTCGCCGAGGAGGTGACAAGGATTGTGGGTGACCTTGGTAAGGTGCAGATGGCGGATCGAAAGGTTACACTAGAGATCCGTGACCTGGACTGTCTTACTGACAACGACGAAGTTCAGGAAGCCTTGGTGCAGATTTTGGGAGCATCATCATCCTGTAGAAAGGAGACGGTCCTTGGGACCAACAAGCGTGGCTTAAAGCTTGCTGTCGTGGTCACAAGCTTAGAAGAAGCTGCAAGGCTTGAAAAGTTGGGACGCGTAAAGGTGGGCTTTATGTCGTGTCCAATCAGAAAAAGATGTATGGTCGTCAGGTGCAATAGGTGCCTGGGATACGGCCACATAGGAAGAGGTTTAGGTGCGGTGAGGCCGGTCATAAGTCTGCGTCTTGCAAAAGAAGCCCAACCTGCTTCTTATGCAAAGAAAAGCACTGCGATAAGGTTGATGTGAACCATGTAGCAGGCAGCGGGGCATGCGGAGTCTTTAGGTCTGCTCTCGAGGAGGCCAAGAAGACTCTCGCTAGGACCAAGAATAAATAGTGCGGAAGAAAAACGGCACGGAAGCGTCGCATACGCGACATAATTGGACCTTTAGGTTTCATAGTATTGAATACATTGTTTATGTGATAACACGCATAAAAAATGGGTATTGTAGAGCCATAGAATGATGTTGTACGTTGTAGTTTTAAGATAGAAAGGAGCAGTGTGTCCCTCAAATTGTTTTCGGGACAGTCAGAGTGAAAGGTCCGAATTAAATAAACACCCCTTAGCCTAGGAGTGACCGAATTATTAATTTAACGTTGATGTCGAGGTAATGCAGTCCTTAGAAAAATAGAAATATGCCTCGTAGTAGAAATTATCTCTTTCAATGAACTTGACTAAGACGAGAGTCGAAGAATGCACTTGGTACTTGAAGAGATTTTCTGGACTGGAGTCGAAGAACAAACTCGATGACAGTACACAACTAGTTAACTTGGTCACGGTTTTGGACTGACAGGAAGAAGACGCGAAGTTAATTCGGTGATGACTTGGACTAGTTAAGTTGAAGGCGTTTCCTGGACTGACTAATTTGGCAAGGGTGGCACCTTTCATAGGTTCCTTTTGCAAAGAGATACTACGTCATACCACCCACTTTTATTTGTTTTCGGGGTCAGATTGCCATTATTGATTTAATTTTTAACTCCTGTATCAGACCGGTGGGGACCCAATAGAAGGGTGACAAAATACAGATGACCATATTTGGTATCTGC